GGGGCTTCGAGCAGCGAATCTTCTGGAACTGCACGTTATTATCACCCCCACCGCATTTTTTCCTGTTGATACTTGTAAAGATAAACCTCATCCTTCTGCCATGCCGTCCGCAATTGCAAGCCACAGCTAATCCCGACCGTACATATGGAGCCCTATTTAGTTTAATTTGAAGTGCCTTGCCCAAGAAGGAAATGAAAAGACGGAATTTGGTTAACTGGACAAGTCAATGTGTTGCAAAAGGAAAAGCAAGGAAACGAATCGCCTTGCCCAGTTGCCCCTCGGTTCCCTGTGATATGCAGTGTCCCATCTCTTGATTCGAGTTCTCCCTCCGTGATATTTAAACCAAGGAACAACCCGGCAGCTTGGAGCTGCTGCCGAATTATTCCCTGGTTTGTTTCTTCTTTTGAATTTCGCGGTTGTACTAATAAAGAATTGTTTGTGCGCTTCCTCGCGGCTCCCCAAGCTCTTCTCCTCGTTATAAACGACACCTCGTTTCAAAAACATTACGGTTAGGAAATCTTTATCCAAGGACCATTTTTGTCTGATCTGGTAAAATCTCAATCAAACATATGTTTCGTTGAATGAGATATTAATGGACCAAAACGTCTTAACTCTCTCGTACCTACTTCTCCTACACCAGCAACATTTCTACATCCTTCATTACGTAGTTCGTTCTATTCTTGCTCTATTTATTTTGTTCTTCATATTACTTCCATGCTACAATCATGCTATAATCAGCTTATCATGTTAGGTGCCACATTTCTGGATGAACATCTGTGTTAATACTCACTCAACATTCACCAAAACCATCCAAACAATAAATAAGACAGCAACGGATAAAATACAAAATTGCATTTTCACGTAAAATATGCTTTTGCACGGGGCCCACCTTCGGTTGGCAGCTTCCCAAGCCGCCGTACCATCGTTGCTTACATCCAAGCAGTCCACCTCTTTCACATTCTCGTATGCCATATTCACTTGTTCGATGGCACTTAATTCGGTTCCAGGCAATGCCACTGATTTTTCAACATCAGAATCCGGCTGCTTTTCCACTCCTTTTTTGCCAGACGGTCGTAGCACACGCGATATCACTGCTCGCAACTGCTCATGCTGCCTGCAAACGCGATGACAATTGAAATATGAGTTACTCATCCTGAACTAGCTTAATAATAATAATAACAATAATAATAATAATAATAACAATAACAATAATAATAACAATAATAATGATGATAATAATAATGATAATAATAATGACAATAATAATAATAATAATAACAATAATAATAACGATAATAAGAATAATAATAATAATAATAATAACAATCATGATAATAATGATGTCAATAATAGTGATAATAATGATGATGACAATAATAATGGTAAAAATAATAGCAATAATGATAACGATAATAGTGGCAATAGTAGTGACAATAATAATAATAATGTGAATAACAATTATAATGATAATACGTTACCAATAATACTGATAATAACAATAATAATAATGATAATAATAATAATAATAAATGTGAATGCAATGCCACGTATAACATTTTTCGGCTCTGCGTGCCCCAGCTGAATTTTTACTTCCGTTGCAACAACAACAACTGCTCGTTTTTCCTTATTTTTTAACTTTTCCCTTTTCACTTGTTTTACTGTTTGGTTGGTTTACTTGCTAAAACGATTGCCAATTATCATAATTAGCCAACCCTATGCAAGAAGACGATGGCCGTAGTTAAAAATAAATTTTCCCATTAAATTACAGTGTGATCAAAAAAACTTACCGTCGGAACACTCGCATTTGATCCAAACGATTTTCCAATTTTTTATGGCGGGGAT